CACACTCACACATTACTCACAGTGCAAAGCGTCCATGCTTTCAACACATTCATTTCTAACTAATAAAAATCTACATTAACTAATTATAATTAATATGTTTACCATCATTTTTTTTATATTTCTGCAAAACTTAAGTAGACAATGACTAATAAACAAAACTAGTTCAACACACATACAAAAAAATAAGTGCCATCTCAGTAATGCATCTCATCTATTAATAATTTGCGTTTGAAAAAAATTGAGAAAAATAGAAACAAACATAACAAATGCAACTGTTTTCTTCAGGATCATTCATTTATTCTTATATGTAACGAATAATATTACTATTTACAAGTAATAATTAATAAGTTCAGTTAGAATGTTTAATTTTCCTAATACTTTGATAAAATAAAAATATAACGCTTGCTGAGAATGACCCAATAACAAAATATGGCATGTATGACATAATGACTAATTTAGTCAAAACAACAAAACAAAACTATTTTAACCTGCAAGAAATCCTAATGACCCTAATCCGGTATGCCCAATCATCATTCCAGTTAGTCCCTGCATTACACATCCTTAATCAAATAATAAATTTCTTTGAAGATGATTTTGGTTATTTTTAACAGAACCAGAAGAATATCTTGACTAAAATAAGAAATTTGGCGTAAATATTTGTTTTGTATTTATACTGAACGATAATTCTTTGATGCAACTATTTTTAGTAAACGAAATTACGAGGCGTGATAGATAGATAATTTTAAACACTTTGAAATTCTTTGAAATTTACGAATATTATTTTTAAATCGAAATAGTAAATTGAAAAATTATAACTACAAAACCATTTTTAAAAATTAATAATAAAATGGACAAAAGTAAAAAGTTTCCAAACACACAAATCTGGTACAAATAAATTTGGTACAAAGTAGTACAAACAAATATATTCAGTAAAATTATTTGAACATAGATTTGTGACTGAAAAGTTTGGTCAATATTAACAATTCAAAAATTCTTATGACAATATAAATGATATATTACAAAAAAATTAAGGTATTTTTATAAAGGTTTGCAAAAACAATCTCTTTCAAAAGTACGGACATTATGTACATATCCGTATTTATTTTGTAATCAATATGATAATGGAGCTTTCTGGTCAATAAATTAAAAAAAAAACGGTTTCCGCAACTCAGACCGTTGGAAAACTAATGCAGCCATTTGCCATCTGGATATCGATAACATGTTCAATTAAATCATAGGTTATGTAGGAGTAAAACTGTAGAACATTATTATCGGAAATTGATACCTACAGCGGGATGGACGTTGGAATACTGGTGGGTGGATTTGCTAATGAATACAATTAATGAAGAAAATTAATTTTATCTTTTAGAACCTTGTTCTATTTTTGGTATAATTTAACTGAATAATTAGCTAACTGTTCCGGCATTGAAATATTCGTCAGTCTAGTTAGGGTCGCTGTAGGAGAGGGCGTAGAGTATTTGGGCCGAAAACTAAATATTCCGAACCAATAGGCACCTACCCCAGCATCCTCCAGGCAGAAATCTATTTTTATTAGTGATAACTATTTCTTCTTCTATAATTCCCTCAATAAGTAATTGATAATTTACGACTTGGCTGCTATAAATATTGTGCAAAACATCAGTTATACTGAGAACTGTCTTCAATAATTCCCTCGTATAATAAGAATAATGACACATCCATAGAAGAATAGGTTGATATAACTCAACAAAAGGTTATGAAATTCACGTAACATTGACATTTTTCATCGTTTTATCCACATTTGACTATTTGATACCTGAGAAATTGCGATGCTGCCAATATGTGCTCAACGCGTATATAGAAAACGATTCACACGGCATCAACAACGAGAATACAAAAATCGACTGCTTGGCGTTCCGCTAATCGAATACTTTCGCTTACCTCTTTGAAAGCATAACGTTTTAATGTCGAAGTTCGAGAATTCGGGCCTTGCTGCGTCAAGATATAGAGGGCAGATGACCCACCACTTGTGACGATCAACACACTGAAGGAAGCTATAGGAACTACCATCGAGGCCAAGCAGCACGAGACGTGGCGACACCGTGAGGACTGCGCTACAGCTCGAAGACTGTGGCCAGTGGTAGATAGCAAAAAGACTAAACAACTATTAGAGTACAAAAAGAACCTAGTACGTAAACTTCGTGAGATGGAAGTTTTCCAACGACGACTACCTACTGCAGAAATGCAGAGAGGAAGAAGAAACCATAGAAAACCGTAGGAAAACCGTAGGAAAAAGAAACCACTTTCCGGCACTACCTCGGGCACTACAATAACGACGCCTTAAAATTTTAGGACAATGTTTTTTGGAAGGACTAGAGAGAGCAGCAGAAGCGATGAGAAGAGCTGGAAGTGCATTAACGCAAAGAAAGAATGAGGGAAAAGTTTGGTACAATAATACAGGGGTATCGCAATGGACCCAAGGCCTCCGAGTGAGGGATCAAACAGGATCCCAAACCCCAACAACCTAACACGAGGGGCAAACCGCTGCCAAAAATGGTGGACAATAAATACCAATTTTGGGAAAAACGTACTAAAAATACCAAATTATTTCCAAAAAATACCAAATTAGAACCAAAAATACCAAATTAGTACCAAAGTCTGTCTTAAGCAACTGTTTAAAAATTTGTTTGCTGGCATTGATATTGGTCTCGATTCTGGCTTATTCTCATCAGGTTCATTCTCGGGTTCATTTAGACAAACCATCATCGTTTTTTTAAGAGCTTTCGATATTTCTCCATTTTCCTTGAGAGTAGAATTTATTTTCTCTAATATCGAAATAAAGTTGGTTATAAGAGGTTGATTAAACTGAAACTTTTCAATTTTTCTTTTATTCCTTTGCGAGCGGCTGTATTTTGTAGACTTCCAAATTGAATTGTTGCTTGTTGACGGTAAGGTTGAAGCGGCAGCTGATAATGGTAGTAAAGGGGTAACATCGGGGAGATAATTATTATTGCTTGTGGATGGTATGGCTTAAGTGGCGGCTGATAAGGGTAATTCCGAGGCTCGTTTAGTTGGGGGGATAATTACGCAGTCTAGTATTTTTACATTAGGATTTCTTTGATTACAGGGAGCTTCAGATATTAGATTAGGGGGTACAATTTTGCTACATGAGGGTTTGCATGCCTCTGTAATTTCCTCGGTATTTTCCGTAGCAGGCTCTTTTAAGAAGTTATTTTTGGTTGTGCCTCAGAGGTATTTGAAGAATTATTGCTTACCTCTGATTTAACCTCGGATTTAACACTGTGATTATTACTAATTTTTGGTATAAATAATTTATTTGTTATATCAAAATGCTTTATCAAGTGTGTTTGAAAATTTGAGCTTACCCAGCGTACCTTTGTAACTCTTGTTTTTGTGGTTTTTGTAAAAGGATGATATTTTATTTGTAAAATTACTTGCTTTTTACAAAAGCAGGTTATTTTGCATATTAAAGTCGATCCCGAAATCGAGTTTGCCTCGAAGTTTGCAGTAGAATTTGGAAGTAAAATTGATGTGCTAAAAATAATGTTATTAAACAGACTATTGCAGTTTAGAGTGCTCCAGAGTTCATCACCAATTTTTTACTTTAACCATTGCTTTCGTATTTTAGAAACTATATTATTTTCTTGGGTATAATCAGTTTCCAAAACATGTAGAGTGATATCTTCTGAAAGACTTCCAGAACTAAACGATTTTGTCAAAGCCCACCTTTAGATTCCAGATATATTTTTCAGTATCAGCTTTAGACGTACTTGGGGCTAGAAATATAGATATTTTTCAGTATTAGCTTTAGAAGCAAATGGGCTAGAAATGATGCAATCAGTTTCCCGGCCATCGTGGCCACATGCGTCTAATCCAGCGTTGCCAGATGTCCAACAAAATACCTGTTTAACACCAGTTTAATACCAAATAAAACCAGTTTATCACCAAATAATACCAGAGTTTATTACCGAATAATACCAAATTAGAACCAAAAATACCAAATTAGTACCAAAAATACCAAATTAGTGCCAAAAAATACCAGTATTACTAAGTGTTTGTACAATAAATACCACCAGCGGTTTGCCCCTCTACCTAACCTAACCTAAGCAAAACAAGCGGAGAGTTTTTCAGCAGGATTACAGGACGTCGTTGCAGCTACCATTAGCCAATTATTTATATTATTATTAACCGCCGAGCTAGTAACATAACCTAATATTTTTACATTTTCAATTTTTGACTTGAATTAAGCTGTCATTTATGATTGATAATTGTAAGAAATTGTAAAACATTCAATTTTAATCTCAAAATATTCAAAGCGCATTAATGAAACAGAGAAAATAAAATGCGCATTAATGAAACAGAGAAAAATGAAAAAATAACAAGAGAGTGAAATCAAAGCAATAAAAACACGCTTATAGAGTCCTTTGATTGCTAGACATTACCCTAATTTAAAGTCCTCCGACCGCCAAATCAATTTTTAGGTGATTCGTTGAATTATAGTGTTCGTTGCTTGCTTATTTTGCATCTAACGTGATTACAGTTGGGGGTTGAAACCTTTGGTGTTACACAGCAAAATAAAACACTAAATCACCACAATACACCACACTTTTACTTTTACAATGTAATCTAACGTGTCAATACCACACTTTTACTTTTACAATGTAATCTAACGTGTCAAAAATGTTTATTTTCGTATGCAATAAAATGTATCAGTATCTAATAGCGGAACTTAGATTGGGAAAAACAATAGCACACATTAAAATTGGTATAAAATAAGGGTGGTATTTCTGCTTCTTAAAAGTTAGGCCGAAGAACCGTCGTACATGAAAAATTTACCTCGTTATTTGGCGGCATTCATGTTAATAAATATGTAAAACAATATAACGACGGTTCTTTTTTCGTCAATTCTTGTAATACTAATTTACTTTATATTAAACAATACAACGAAGGTAAAAGTTTCCATTGTCATAATACAAACTATGTTTAGAATTAAAACTTACCTATTCCACATTTGTCAAGATGATTTGTGACCGGAACTTCCGGTCGGCACAGGCATTTCCCTTGCAAGTCATCGCACACCGACCCCTCGAACCCGCATTCGTCTGTTGACCCACATTTGTCTCCAAACTTCTTTTTTGCCTCATCTGAAATGGATACAATTATTAATTATATTATAATATTGTCAATATATAATTATATTATATTATAAATTATATTACGTTACTTTCTATATTTTTTGTTTACTTTTGTTTTATTTACCAATGGAATTTTTTCTCGAATTCAGAGTATATTAAAGTCAACAGTTGAGGCGTCAAGTTGCAAAACCCGCCTTATCGATTTTTAAAAAAATGGCCTAATGACATATATTAAGAGTGGATGGACAAATCTACATAAACATAATCTCAAACTGCAGTAAAAGTCGCCTTTTCCTATATAAATTTCACTACAAATACACTAAAAATACTACTGCAGCAATATCCGTCTTATCCACTTATATTTGCTTTTCATTTGTCATTATTGTTACAAATCCCACATTTTTTCATAAGCTTTTTACACAAGTACAATATTACTACTGACGTCTTTTCAAATCCTTACTTAATTTTAATAAAATATGATGCAAATACCGAATGATCATATCATACCGTATGATCGAAAAAAAAAACGGCAGTTGGCTAGGAAATGACGATCGATGACATTTCCCATTCCATCCCCCATTTCAATATTTGTTAAAGATATTTAGATTATTTTTTTTCGATTTTATTATTCAATATAGTTGTCTTTGATGGAAATGCAACGATTATATCGGTCATACAATTTTTCAATACCATTTTTATAGTACGATTTGTCTTTAGCCTCACAATAGGCCTCAGTTTCGGCGATTACTCCTTCATCAGGGCTAAACTTCTTTCCAGCGAGCATTCTCTTGAAGTCCGCGATCAGGAAAAAGTCACTGGTGGCCAAATCCGGAGAACTCGATGGATGGGGAAGCAATTCGAAGCGTAATTCATGCAATTTTGCCATTGTTATCATCGATTTGTGACAAGGTGCATTGTCTTGATGAATGAGCACTTTCTTCTTTTTCAAAAGGGGACGTTTTTTCGCGATTTCATCCTTTAAACGCTCTAACAATGCTATGTAATACTCGCTGTTGATGGTCCTACCTTTTTGAGGTAGTCAATGAATATTATACCATGTGTATCCCAGCCATACCCTTGCCGAGTGTTACGTCTTTTCACGCTGTGGAGTTGGATCATTACGCGCAGTCCACTCGGATGACTGTCGATTGGACTCTGGAGTATAATGATGGAGCCATGTTTTATCCATTGTAATATAACGGAAAACCTCATCCTTATTACGATTGAATAACGATAAACATTGCTTCTAATTTTTGATTGTGAGCACGCGCGGCACCCACTTTACACATAGCTTTCGCATGTCCAAATATTCATTCACGATATGTTCAACACGTTCCTTTGATATCTTTAGAGTCTCAGCTATCTTTATCAAGTTTACTGTCATCCAAAATTATTTTGTGGACTTTTGATGTTTTCGTCGGTAATAGCTTCTATTGGGCGCCCACCCCATGTATCGTCCTCGGTGCTCATTTCGCCTCTTTTATACTTAGAAAACCACTTGATTTTCCTGGTGCAGAGTCCGAATAATATTTATCAAGCCAAGCCTTAGCTTCAACAGTATTGACCGTCAGCTGTGAAGTTTATACACATATATTTTGAAGGTTAGGGCTTACTAAAAATCATATGGATTTAATTCTAGTAGCGTCATTTATATGCCAGCCTACGAACTTTTCAGCCCACTGTAGTTCAATTTTTTGAGTTGTATGGTAAGAAATTAGAGAATGTATTACAGATGAGTTAGAATTATTTAAATCGTAAGTAAATATATTATCTACACAAGTGGAACTGTGAGATGTTAGTCTAGTTGGTTCAGTAATAGTATACTTAGATTAATTATATTATGATTCACTCGTAGATTTTAAAATGAACCATTGTTTACTATTTTTTAGTGAATCTATATTAAAATTACCCATAAAAAATAAATTACAGTTTTTTTGGAAAACATTATACAGAGTTCAAATTTCTTTCTAAATGTTTCGAACTCACCAATTGGAGGCTTATAAACATACACAACTACATGCTTTGAATCACCAATCTTAAATTTGCACCTACAATACTAATAAAAAATATTCAAAAACATTCTTTTCTGCCTCTGCTTAAAGTGTAGTTGCTTAATGCATCTTCAGACCAGCCACCAGCCAGGTCGCTGCGACCAGTAATACCATTTACCATTAAATCAAATGATACAACGCGCACTACCGTCTGGTCGCACTACAGCTTGGTCGTAAGCTGTCGCAACTTGGTCGCAGCGGAGACTTCTTCTAGAGAAATTGGTTTCCTCGATTGAGTATCTGGGCCTTTAAGGGACTTGCATAATGACTGTAAGATCTCATCAAAGGATTCAATAAAGATCTGTGTATAGTTTGTACATTTTTCGTTGTATTTCCGCAAATCTTGATAAAAATATTTTCAACATTCCATTTTTACTACGTGTTTGTATCAAAGGGTGCACCCAAAATCTTTTCTTTTTAATTTTTCTTCGTCGCAGCAGATACACAATACTTGCAACTTGTTCGACATTTATTTTGCAACTGCACTGAAACTAGTCGTTCAGCTGGACGCACATACAGTAGTGGAAAAATGTAGAGCAACTTTTGAAAAAATAATAAAATTTAAGTTTGGGGTGCAGTATAAATTTTTAAATAGTATTAATATTCTGGCAAATTATAGACAAATATATTCAAGATAAAAGATAGTTAATTTCTTTGCTTGCTACCATATTGATAATATGTTTTTTGGATTATATAGTAATTAGGCATTAAACAATCGCTCATTATTGGAATAGGGTTTTCCTCTGATTTTCCGATCCAAGATTTCACAGAGATTCTCAATTGGGTTGAGATCAGGGGATTGGGATGGCCATGCCAAAACACTAATGTTTTCTCTTCTGAACCATTGCTTGACGTACCTGGAGGTGTGCTTCGGATGATTATCCTGTTGGTAAATATGCCTTAGAGGCATAACTTCGTCAGCATAGGGACCATTTGGGTTTCCAAAATTTATCTCTTATATTGGAATCTATCCATGTGGCCTTCTATTTTGTATATTGGCCCCATTCCATACCCCGAAAAACAGCCCCAGACCATCACTGACCCACCTCCATGTTTTACCGTAGGGTATACATGCCCTACGGTAAAACATGGAGGTTGGGGTTGAGTCGTTCATTTTTAGGATGTCTCACATAGGCCATCTCTCACTCACATAGGCCATAGGATACCATCACTTTTGAATAAACAAAACTTCGATTCATCACTCCAGATGACATTTATCATGATACATGATATTAAGTGGTCTTGCACTCCCTAGTGTAGATGTGTTCGTGCAAAATTGAGGCGGGCACGTCTATTTTTTTTCGATAGGAGAGGTTTTTTGGCTGGTCTTCTGCCAAATAGATTAGCTTCTAGTAACCTACCTCTCACAGTCCTAGAAGTTAACCGCAACTCCAAGCTGCTCAGAAATACGATGAGATATTTGACTGGATCCAATAAAAGGTTCGTTCTTGGCAATTTTCACAATTTGTTTGTCTTGATAGTGACTAGTTTTTCTGTCTAGTTATTTCTAGTCTTCCACACTTCTTTTTAACTGAAAAATCTCCCGATGCACGATATTGTTTAATAATTCGAGAAATAATGGATTTGTTTAAATTAAATGTTTTTGCCAAATCATGTTGTTTCCGACCATTTCTATAACAATTTATGATTTTTTCTTTGATTTCAGCGGATAAATGCTTTCCTCTAGACATTTTTACAAGCAAGCATTCACTAGTAAAATGAAGCAAAAATAAAATGCAAATGAAATATATCTAACTATCTGAATAGTTGCTCTACTTTTTTCCACCATGCAAATCTATTATCAGTATAAACAACAGCATAAGAAAAAGTTGCTCTACATTTTTCCACTACTGTATGTACGCAATACATCCGTGGTCGCAGAGCCTGGTCGTCAGTGCGTTTAGACTTGACCACGCATGAGCTGAGCGCTCTCGGCTCCGTTCAAATTAAAAACTTATTTTTCGACGAATGAAGTGATCCACTTATGCGCGCACAGCAGAGTTGTGTTGGCGAAAAGCGAAAATAATGGACGACCAAGAAATAGTCGGGGCTGCAGTCATTGTTAAGCGCATCTTAATTATTAAAAAGAAGAAAAATCGAAAACATCGTCGCTGGTGGTAATTTACTGCAACAATTTAGTGTCTGAGGAGGGCTATGATTAGCTAAAAAACTTTACAAGAATGACCAGGCCCGACTTTGAATAGTTACAAAATTTAATAACACCAAAAATTACGAACAAAAGATACAAATTTTAGAATAGCAATTTCATTAACATCGATATATTCAATATTAATTTTATTTACAAGGTCTTGCCATGCGTTATTTTTTTTTTGGTTTTTTAATAATACGAACAATGTTTAACATTCCATATATAGGCAACTTTCCATATTCTTCAATTAATAATAACGAAGATTCATTGATCCACTCCATAATTTTAATAAAGAAGTAAAAAAAATCACACACGCATGCACGAAAGCAGAAAAAACAAATTGCCGGTGCAAACTGAACGTTCGCGCACATATAAAATCCCTTTGAGCACGGACCAAAAACCGACACCAGACGGCTCACGTTCGCGGCTGCTCGCGCACAGGTAGATTCCGAGTGAGCGTGCGCGCACCACCAAGTCAAGTGTAAACACACTTGAGCATTCGCAAAGGATCAGTGCTTGCATGCTCAAGTCTAAACGCACCATAAGAACAATATCATATATAGAAGTTTCTCGTAAGCAACATCATACAAAAATAATTGTACAATAAATATACTTAAAAATCAAAACGTAAGTGTATAAATACACCAATATAATAATATACTATCAAGTCACCTATAGCAGATCTATATATCATAAAAATGTATATAATTATAGTACAAATATTAATAAATATAGAATACAATAAACAAAGAACCTAATGCAGTGGTATTGCATTAGGGTACGCTCACAAAGAAAGCAGATTGCCTGAT